CACGTTTGATTACTCTGGATGTTTGGACATACCCAGCACGTGTTTATTGTTATTTATCCCCTTTATCACTTTCTAAATTATATTTCTTTTTTTTATTAAAAAAAAATAGCCACCCCTCTTACCTCTCTTGCACGGGTGCTTCTCGCTTCTCTTCCTTTCTTTCCCCCTCCGAGGTTGTTTACCTCTTACCAACTCATGACTTTGACGACCTCTTTTTCTTCTTGGGCGGGGCGGGGGGGGGGGGGGGGGGGGGGGGCTTCTTTTCTTCCCGACACAAGTTCAGCGTCATCCTGACCATTCTTTATCGAGAATCGAATCGTTGGGAGATGAGGAATATATAGTGTTATAAGAGTAATATCCCAATATCGATTGGTGTATAGATGGTGATCTTGAAGGGTCTTGACGAATCACGTAGAGAATCGGGCCGTGGATCTCGGCATAAGGCAAGATCCACCCCCGCCGTGGAGAAGCGGGGGAGCTAAAGAGAGAGAGGATGGGGGCAGTGGCATAATGGTCATGCTATACCTTTTATAGTCAATACTGTCATCTGTGCTGTGCAATCCATGCTGATACCGATACTCGATACTTTATACTTGTCAGTAGTAGTAGTAGTAGTAGCCGGAAGTGATGGACTATTGATTGGTAGGCCAATGTTTCCCATAGACTGACATGGCATTTCCCAGTAGTATGCCGTCACCCCCCCCCCTCTCCTCTCCCCTCCCCCCTCTCCCTCCATGGCCTCCGTCGGTAATGGCCGGCTCTCGGCAGGGTCGACGACGAGACAGGGTGTGGTCTCCCCCCCCTCCCCCGGCACAGCTCTGCTCTCGAACTCGATTCTTCTCACGAGTACTGCCCATTACCCTGTCGAGACCACTGCACTGCTACCGGTAGCATTGAAAATACAACAGCAGAGACGACTCGAACCATGTCAGTATCGGCCATGCAAGGACTGCACAGGATACGACCCGCTCTGGCGACCAGACGTCTCGTATGCAGAGGCTTTGCCACGACGGCCAGACGACGGGATGATTACGCCTTTATCGGACTGGGACAGATGGTATACTCTTACTCTCACCCTGATTCTTCCTTCTCTCTCCTCCCCCCTCCCTCTCTCCCCTTCTCTCGGCACGATCCTGGACGAGACCTAACACCAGCACACAGGGCTACCAGATGGCCAGGAATCTACAGTCTAAGCTACCACCCACAGACACCCTGACGATATTCGACGTGAACAAGGACGCCATGAGCCGTCTCGAGGCGGATACCCAGGCTTCTGAATCGGGGGGGGCAGAACTGCAGTTGGCGGGGAATGTGTCTGATGCGTTCAAGGAAGCGGTCAGTTTTTTTTTTTATGCATATATATATAAATATATATATATGGGAGGTTTTTTGTCTTGTCTTGTTTTTCAAAACTCGGTCTTTCTGACATCTCGACAGTCCACAGTGATCAGCTGTCTCCCCGAACCGCAGCACGTACGGGCCGTGTACGAATCGATAGTGGAGGAAGGTGCGGCAGCATCGTCCGACCGCGTCGTGATAGACTGCTCGACCATCGACCCTTCCACGTCTCGCTCGGTGGCCAGGTTGGTATCCGCTGCTGGGCAGGGTACATTCGTCGACGCGCCCATGTCGGGCGGTGTGGTGGGTGCCACGGCCGGGACTCTGACGTTTATGCTGGGAATGCCCAAGACTGCAGGTACGTCAACAGCCTCGGCAGAGACGACCACGAGAGGGGCAGACAGCACGGCAGAGACAAGCACGGCAGAGACAGGCACAGCAGAGGCGGGGGTAGGACCGGCAGCGGTGGCAGCGGCGGCAGCAGCTAGTCTGACGGATCACGTGGTGGCCACCCTCCTCCTCATGGGAAGCAGGGTCCTCCACTGCGGCGCGCAGGGGACGGGACTCTCGGCCAAGCTGGCCAACAACTACCTCCTGGCCGTGAACAACATCGCCACGGCCGAGGCCATGAACCTAGGCGTGAGGTGGGGTCTCGACCCGGCCACGCTGGCCGGCGTCATCAACGCCAGCACGGGCCGCTGCTGGCCCAGCGAGGTGAACAACCCCGTCGGCGGGGTGGTCGGGGGCTCCCCGGCGTCCAGGGACTACGCGGGCGGGTTCGGCCTCTCGCTCATGCGCAAGGACCTGAGGTTGGCCGTCGCCGCCGCCGAGGAGGCCGGGGCCAGGATGGTGCTGGCCGACGCGGCCGGTCGGGTGTATGCCGAGGCGGAGGAGGACCAGAGGTGCGCCGGGAGGGACTTTTCCGTCGTGTACAGGTATCTGGGGGGGAGGGAATAGAAAGCTAGGCAAGTGCTGCCTCTCGGACGTGTTCTCGGACGTGTTCTGGTACTGGAAAGAAGATAAAAGAAAAAAGAAGGGGAGAGAAAAAAAGGGGGGAAAGGAACTCATGGCTTACTGTCGAGACGTCATCTACCCCCAGATGAGCATCTCTCCCCGGTACAAGGCCAGTTCTGCTGCCGCTGGTGCCGGTGCTTCTACCGCCGGGGCAGCTGACGACGCAGAACCAGAGTCTCCAAGGCCACGCCGCTGGTCTCGCGTGTCGATACCCTCAACATTGGAGGGTAGTACCTGAGAGAGCGGGGACCTGGATGATGGAGTGTAGTTTTTTTTTTTCTTTTTTTTTCTTCTCTTCTTCTTTCCTTTTTTAGTCTGCCGCTTTTCATAGAACCACACACTTCATCGTTTCTTTGTTACAAAAAAAAAATACTCAGGTTTCTGACATCTGCCATCCGGATATCAGGCTAGTCTTGTTATAGATCGTAATTATATATGCATTATAACTTTCCTCTAATACTCTTTTTTTTTCAATGCCCCGTACATGCTATTGGCAGCATCATGCCCTACGATTTGACCAGCCTGTCACCCTCTTCGTCATCGCTACTCTCCTCTTCCTCACTTTCCTCTTCACTCTCCTCCTCGCTCTCTCCTTCTTCTTCTTCCTCTTCCGTCTCTTCGCTCTCCTCCTCCTCTTCCTCTGCCAGCCAGTCGTCTAACGTCTTGGTACCCACGCCTTCTCCCTGAGACGATCCATTCGCCTTCATGGGGTGGCTCCTGGCAGCATCATCGAGCATCTCACCTGCCGGAGTGGCAACTCTGCTGCTGCCGCTGTCGCCGTTGTCGCCGTACCTAGCAGTGTTGAGGTGCTGTTCTGAATCGCGCAGCCTGGGGTCGGGCTCCTGGCCTGGTCTTACCCAGTCGGGCAGCGGTTGGTATCCGGGGATGCCATGGAGGCCGCCGCCGCCGCCGAGCACAAGGGTAGATGATCCCAGGAGGAAGCCCCTGCGCGACTCGGACGGGCTGGGGGCTTGGGGTGCCGGTTTCGGCGCCAGCAGCATGAGCGTGGCGAGCTGCGGGACAGCCAGGAGGGCGCGGTACATCCTCGCGCGGTCGCGCAGGTCGTACGACGTGTCGTAGCGGACGAGCAGAAGTACATACTCCCATAGACGGGCGACGGGGTGTTCGTCGTCGATCTCATCGTTGTCCTTCTGCTGCGAGGAGAGCTCGCCATCAACGTCATCCTGAGCCTCCTCTCTCTCTTCCCGTTTCCTGTTGCCCTTTGCCTCCTCTTTACGGTTCACGTAATGAAGGTACACCTTGGCGGCCAGGAGAAGGATCTGCTGCTTGGCCGCCTCGGACTCGTTGGCGAATCCCTTGAGAAGAATACGCAGAACGTCCGGGGCGATGTTGTCCTCGCCATTCATGCCTGAGAACTCACCCACGAGCCAGATGATGGTGGCGCGGGCCTGCGGATCCGTGGCCGAGTCGAGGTTCCTGGCCAGGCGTACCACGGTGCCGACGTGACCCTCGGCGTCCTGCTGGATTAGGTGCCGGATGACAGTCAGCGATTCGGCCGCCAGGGTACCGTCGAGGCTGGTGATCTGACCCAGGAGGAGCCGTAGGCAGCGGGGAGCCGTCTTGGAATCCGACTGGGCGCAGCGGCCGATGGCACGCACTGCCTCCCGCACCAGAGCCTTGTCGGTCCCCTGTGAGAAGTGTTCCAGCTCCTTGAGGATCAGACTCTTGACGTGCAGCGGACTGTGTGGAAAGATGATGGCCAACACCTCTAGCTTGAGCTCCCACACGGGCTCGGCGTCCGTTGCCCGCACCAAGAAGTGGCTGGCGTACCTGACAAAGTCCTTGGGCCGCATCAGACACACCGACACAATGTTGTACAGGGCCACCTGCTGGATGTCGGGGGCGCTTCGAAGCAGCGCCACCAGCGGGCCAACGGCGTGCCTAACATACTCGGGCGTGCCAATCTCCACGTAACATCTGACCACGGCGACGACGACGGCCGAGTTGCGGCTCTGGAGTAGTGGCTGGATCCCGTTGAGCAGGAGGACTAGGTCAGGGTCCAGCGACGACGGCGAGGCACCCGAGCCGGCGGCAGCAGCAGCTTGGCCGTAAAAGTCGTCTATGCTCTCCTTGGCGGAGCCGCCACTGGCCTCCGTCGTCGTGTCCGTCTGTGGCCGAGGGAAGCAGCTCCGCGCGTAGTAGGACATGAGCCTCATCAGGGACAGCTGGCTCCACTCATCCATGTCGACAATCTTGCGAGCCAAGCCGCGGTAGTGCTTGTGTATCAGGTCGATGCGGGTGGGGCAGATCTCGAGGAAGGCCGAGGCGGCGGCGCCGGCCACGTAGTACTGCTTGTCGCCGATGAGGGTAGCCAGGTATTCGACGAGCTGGGGCTCCTGGCTGGGGTCGAGACGGTAGCACTTGGGTATGGCCAGGGCGGCGGCCTTGCGGACGTGGGGGCTGAGGTCGACGGAGCCCTTCTTGATGGCCAGGGAGACGATCTGGCTGATGACGGGGACGCGGATGCCCGACATGGTCTTGAGGGCGAGGGCGCGCACCTGGGGGTTCGAGTCGGAGAGGGATTTCTGTATCGTGTTGATGGACAACAGGGCCAGGTCGGGCTCCTGCTCGGCATGGCGGATCAGATAGATGTAGACGAGTTTCTTGATGTCAAGGTTGGGCGAGGCGACGTTTTTGACCACGTTTGAGAAGAAGGGGAGTGTCTTCTGGTTCTTGTACATCATCTGTCGTCGTGATTTCTTTTTCAGCACTAAAACAACCATGCAAGAGGGCCAGGACCAGGACAGCGCAGGGCGGGTAGAGCACATACCGACATCACGCGCCGCAGCCCCTCGAGTACCTCCCTTTCATTCCTACTGTCGAGAAGCTTCCGCATCTGGTTTCGATCCATGGGCCGTGAGCTCGTACGCATATTGCGCGTCGCCTGGGCAGCATCGAGGGTGAGCTCTCTCGCTGACGATGAGCAGGTTCCGAGACAAATCAGCACTGGTCCCGGAGAGGGTTTGGTGTATGTCAGAAGAGCTTACCCGTCTCCATGAGACTCGAGATCTTGGCGACGGACTCCATGGTGAAAGCTCCGGCTGGGCCCCCCGAGGGCGGAGGCAGTTTGGTACTTGGTCGAAGAAGTTTTGGTGCTGTTGTGTTAGTTGGTCGGCGATGGCTGGTGAGAGGATGACGGATATCCAGGATTGGTGGCCGGGAATGACGTGCAGCCTTTGGGAGCCCAATAGCGTCGAAGTTTAGGGTATGTATTTCCTCCACCTGGACAGTCCAAACCTCCCTCACCTTTGAACTTCTATCAAATGTCTCCTCCTCCTCCCTTGGCTTGAAATGCTATAACGAGAAAATTTACATGCAATGTTTGTTCCCTTGCTACAATGCTGGGTGGCAGGCGTCCTTTACTCCTAGCACGTCTTGACACGTATATCATTACATGATAAGAGCCATGATCGATGATTCTGAGGCCGATCACCAATAACACTCACACTCACTGTACGGTTGGGGGGGGGGAGGGGGGGTTACCCTAGGGGTCACCATTTTAGGGCCTCAGGACTGCGACACTCTGAACCCTCTCCGGTATTCAACAACAACAACAACAACAACAACAACAACAACAACAACAACGACAACGACAACGACAACACCATCATCATCGTCACCATCACCATCACCAGTGCACACAGAATGAATTGGTCAAAATGAGAGAACCTCATGGGATGACGATGCGAAGATGCCCAGCACCGAACTGGTCCCGCCAGCCCCACAGGTCCTTTCCCCCGTGACGCCAGCCGAGCTCTTAATCCACATCATCAACCATCATCGGCACCCGACGACTGTCGTCGTCGCTTCGCCGAGGCAGCCCTTCCTGGACGCCCTGGCCCTCGAGGTCGGCCCGAGGGTGCGGCAGCATAGCGACGAGATCCTCCCCAAGACGCTCATCCAGACAGCCGTGTCTCGCCACATCCGCCTCGTCTTCGCTCCGACCCCCACCCATCTCCGCGCCTACCTGGCTACCTTTTCCGACCGTCACAGTCACAGGGGTATCGTGCCGGATCCTCCGCCAGCGACCCACAGCAGCAGGGGAGGTCGGCGTCTTCATCGTCACCCTCTGCTGCTTGTCTATGCCTTCCTCGAGATACACCGCCTGACGAGCGAGTGGTCGGCCCAGGGCATAGCGGCCACGGCGGCCACACTCGTCGAGGCCGCTGCCCGGACCGGCTTCAGAGCTGCCGTCGTGGAGCCACGCGGGGGCGGGGGCGGTGGGGAGTATGCCTTCGAAACGCTGGACCAGTTCCTGCGGGAGGAGGTCCCGCTGCTGAATGGCGCGAGGAGGAGGGATGATACAGGTGACTGGATCGGGCGGACCGTCGACGTGGCCAGCATCCTGGGTCGGTGGTTTGATCTCGAGCCAGGAGAAGAGGGAGGATCGCAGGATACTGCTGCCGACGACGTGGGGTCGAAGCATGGAACGCAACCACCACCGGGCGCCGATGACGGAGCACAGCACGTGTGATATATAAGGAGAGAGGTCTAGGGACCGAAATATTCATTATTGATGCATTATCCTGTCAACGCCGTTGGTATCGTTATTTTCCCGTAATCATCAATCACCGTTATGCCCATGTGTCAGACGTCCTTCATATCATCACCCATGTACGAGAAGAAGAAAAGGTAAACGAGAAGACCAGAGCTCGCCTCTCATGATGAAATGTTTTGCTCCATCTCATTCATGTACAGTTTTATGTGAGCCTCCATCTTTTGATACTCCTCGTAGGCGCTGTGTACTTCGTTTTCGATGTTTTCCTTGAGATCGAGCATCTGGTCATTGGCCGGCTGGTTAGCATTATCCTCTCTCTCTCTCTCTCTCCCCACCTGAGTGGGGAGCAGTAGTCATTCTTACCTTCTTCTCCGTCTGTTCGATCCTGACCCTCCGAACCTCCATCTCCTTTGCATTCTCGGCATGCTCCTCGGTGAGGGCCTTGTGCTGGGCCCTGAGCTCGTGCATCTTGTCCTTGGCCTCCTGCGCCTTCTGGGCGCTCTGGTCGCGCAGACGATCCGTGCGCTCGGACCACTTGGCGAGCTGGCGCCTGAGCATGGTCTCGGCGCGCTCGACCTCGCGGGCGTTGTTGCCGCGCTCGGTGAGGGCGTCCCTCTGGCGGGAGTTGCGGGCCATCTCTTCCTCCTCCTTGGCGAGCTCGGCGGCGACCTCGTCGAGGATCTTGATGCAGGCGGCGACGTCGGCGGAGACGACGGAGAAGGAGTCAGTCGAGGTCTGGAGGGCGCGGGCCCTGCGGTCGAGGGAGTCGATGTGGGACTTGTCGTTGCTGAGCATGTCGCGCAGCTCGGCGAGCTGGTCCTGCAGCCTGGAGGGGCTCTCGAGCATGTAGGGTCTCAGCTTGTTGCTGTCCTGCTTGAGCATGATCTTTTCGTGGGTCCGCTGCTCGAGGGCGGCGGTGAGATCACCCTTGCGCTGCTTGGCCTCGTCGAGGCGGGCGGCCACCTTCTCCTGGCTGCGCCGCAGGTCGAGCAGCTGCTTCTTGAGCTCCTCGTTACGCATCGTCTTCTCGCGCACCTGGGCCTCCATGGCGCTGCGGTTGCGGTGCAGCGCCGCTAGCCGCTCCTCGCTCTCCTGGTTGTCGCTGTACAGCGCCTCGATCCGCGACTTGGTGCCCTCGGCCCGGTTGTAGTGCTCGTCGATGACGTGCGTCTGCGACTCGCGGAAGCGCACGAAGTTGATCAGGTACGAGAAGATCTTGACCAGCCGCTCGTACGTCGGTCGGTACAGATCGTTGAAGCTGAAGTCGGTGATGCCGCACTCGAACAGCAGCCGCCGCAGCGACGAGTAGAAGCCCATCAGATTCCGCGTGTCCGGCGGGATCACGTCCGCAAACTCCCCGCAAACCTCCTCGGCCGCCGACCGCATCGGAGGCTCCACCGTCTCCCGCGTCGCGTTCAGGAGGAGCTCTGCGAACCACTCGAATATCTGCTGCACATGCGCCGGGTTCGGCTTCTGCAGGTCCGCCACCGTGAAGGTGATGCCAATGTCGGTGATGCACCCGACAATCTCCCGGTCCGAGAGCCGCATGAACTCGTCGGCTTCCACCTCCTTCTTTCGTGTCCGCGACTGCCCGCTTTGCTGCGCGCTCGGTATGATGCTCATTCTCGGGTTGTATGCCATCTCTTTGGTGGTGGCGGTGGCGTTGTCGTTGTCGCGGCAAGATGTGTCGACCTGCTGGGTTGCGTGCAGTCAGCTGCAGCGCGTTGATGGCTACAAATGGGTTGGTCACTGTAAACACCAAGGCGCGTTGCCGCAGGGATCTAGAGAGTGGGGTCACGTGATATTCTTCCAAACACACGTCGAAGTACGTTGAAACAAGTACGTTGAAACAAAGGTGCATTCTACTATACCGTTGCTCTTTGTTCTCGACCTTGCATTTCCATCAGGCCTGTACCGGGACCTGATTCTCGCTCAGCTGTCCAGCGTGCATAGCAAGACGTGGGTTCAAGAAACCGACCACGACTCATACGAAGTCTTACACGTACATGATACCCAGCGTAATACACAGCTTCTCTCGGTTTCATGATTGATCTCACCAAGATGACGAGCTGGAACATTACACACCACTTCTGAATGGCGGGTAGCCTTTTCAGATGCCCGCTCGGCACACGCGGTCCATGCCGACAGGAGTCCCGGACCTGTGCAACTCTCACCTCATGGCACTGACTCCTGATGAGGAACTGCGGGGAAGCGCGGGTGTTGGGGGTGTGGTAGGAGAAAGCAAAAGCGAGTGCCTCGACAGTTGAGCTTCAATCCTCTGTGCTCCCGGCCGATGCTCCTTGTCGGAGGAAAGCAGGAGTAGACCGGAGAGTGAGAAGGGAGCAGGCTGCATACATGCACGTACAAGCACAGGCAGCGAGCTCTCGGACACGGCACCCACACCCACAGTCCTGTCACGCAGCCAAGTTGGGTGTTGCCCCGTCCATCTATCAGCGTGGCGGGTCGGAAGTCGATTGCTAGAGGATGCTGAGTCCCGGTTTCTTTGTTTCATTCTGTGCTCCGCCCGGTACCTGCGGACCACGTGCGCAGTTCGATGGCATCTCGACATCTGCTGCTCTCTGCTGATGGTCTGCCGATTGAGGTGTAGGATACGGTAAAGAGATGAGGACACTTTCGCCCGACCCCTCACCATACCTCCAGCTTCAGGGATCCAACGTCGAAGCATTACGAGCAATCCCTTGTCGGCACCGCGATATTGGCGAGGCGGACATGTGTCGAGAGTGCCAAGGTGATGGGCACATCTTCTCTTCTCGTGATACGTTCCGTCATGCGACATCTGCGAGGACGTGTTCGAGCGCGCAGGGGATGTATGCGATGGAGTGGCCGAGTGCCATGACTGCCAAGGAAGAGAGAAAACATGCTGTTACGAGGGATGGATTTTTTTCAGATGGTAGCATTGCTATCTCCACGAGTATCGCATCTCGGTTGCAACTTGCCTCCTGTCTGACTCTGCGCCACACCCACCAGCCAGCTTTGCCAATATTTGACCTCGTATGTGTGCCCGCAGGGCTTGACGAGTCCATTGCATCATCGACTGGACTATCGCTCCGCCGATAATAGCAGTCGGAGGATATTTTTAACATCATTATTATGCATCGACTTTTTTTTTTAGCTCAAAAATCCTTGGCACGGTCGCAGTGGCAGATCATGTCATAATAGTTATCAAGGAAAGTGTTATTATAGTGGCGGGCGTAGTATAGGCTTTGGCGTTTTGAGAGAGAGAGAGAGGGGTAAGGGGGGGAAATAGAGGGAGAGGGAAAGAGAGAGAGAGAGAGAGAGAGAGAGAGGAGCATTGGAGGGACACGGATAGATACTGCTGTTGGTCATGTTTCAATCCATGCGGCTATACCCGTTGGCAGCACTGCCAAGACTGCACAGAAACGTGTCGACTCGTCGCCTACGAGTGATAGCACACGTACATTTGCGGGAGGGACCGAGAGGAACCGAGAGGAACCGAGAGGGACAAGGCTGCAGGCCGCATATTACTGTTCTCGTATCGTACGTACTCGCAGTTCATCGTCGATATGGCGGGAGGTACAGTACAGAATGAAGGATGCTGCGCGTACTCGTAATGTTCAAAGACCTTTCCTGTCGACGGCGTCTCGGCAGGTGACAGACGGATAGGCTTAGTCATAGCTGCAGAGCATCGAATTCCCCACATGCAACTTGCTAATACTGACAGGACGCCCATCCGTTATATCGATATTGCATACGGGGTAATAATAGTAGCGGTGATAGTATCATTACAGAGTGATACCAATACAGCATTGCTATGACCTGCGTAGTATCGATCTACAGATTGCGAGTACTGATGCGGCTGGTTTCTGTTCCTTCTCCTCACCTGGCGGAGGAGAGTATTGTTACGCCCCGCAGCCAACGAGGAACAAGGAAGAAGAGGTAAAAGGAAAGAAGAAAGAAGAAGGAGGAAAAACAAGGACAATCCCAATATTTCCCAAGACAATACGAAGACGGTTGCATAAATGTCAATGCACCTTGCACTGTGTGCATAGATATATGCATAGTCTTTTCGGTACATGTAGCCACACGCAGCTTGTCCGAGAAGAGAGTAGAGAGAGAGAAGGAGGGAGAAGAGAGAGCCCTCTCGGTTGCGCTCCCCCGTCACCCTCCATCACGCGACTTCCCAAATGGTTTGTTATTGGTGTCAGACCAACATCCCGATTGAGATTGCAGGGTGATCAACCGATGGCTGGTCTGTTTGTTTGTCTGTTTGTTCTCAACATCATTTTAAAATGAATACATTACCGCCGTTTCTGTACCTGGATCTTCAGATGGTGTAACCGCAGGTGTGTGTGTGTGTGTGTGTGTGTGTGTGTGGTGTGTGACACCCCTCCCGTTCTAGAGGAGATTTTGTCTCAACAAGGTCTCTGATTTGTCTGCGATGCAACTTGATTGTATTTTTGAAAAAGAAAAAAAAAGAAGGAAGAGAAAAAAAAAGAAAAGAAGAGAAGAGAAAAGAAAAAAAGCGAGGATCGGGAGCTGAGTATCAGTACCTACTATACTCGTAGAGTCGTAGAATAGAAGCAGAAGGTGATGAAGTGAGCAAGGGTTACCGAAACAGGGCATATAACATCACGACTCTCTGCGTCGTAGACTGAAAGAGAAGACTCCATTCTATATAGTCTGTACAGGTTACAGATTATATGCAAGAGACTTTTTTTTTTTTTCCGTTCGGTCTTCCTCTTCAAGACTGGAGTCAAGACGTGGAGCCAAGACTGGATGGAGTCAAGACCTTGTCCGATAGCCCCGCAGCGGATACCAGTTACGCAACACGCGAAGCGACACACATCACGGCTAGTTGATTATTACTCGTACAAGAGTCGAGAGTCAGGCGTCGAGAGTCGAGAGTCAAGAGATTGAGGCAAAAAAAAAAAAAATTATAAAAAAAATATAAAAAATAAAAGGAGAGAAGAAGAGAGGAGGAGGAAGGAAAGATGGGATACCATGACCCCTTTAGAGTGCGTGACGATCGCGCGTGCGTGCTGGCGTCTGCCGGTGATATCACTACCCAACCTTGATGCCTCTACCACCAAACCCCCCAAGGGAAGGTCCCCAAGGCCAGAGAAGCGGCCCGTCAGAAAGGGGGGGGGCTGTGTGGGCAGCGGAGGAGCGGATGGGCTGACTCGATCCGCAGCGTGGAGACGACAAGTGTATACGCGAAGGTCGGATATTGGCATAGCTAGCAGCAGCGGCTAGTGACAGCAGCTACGCGATAGCAGTCCGCAGAGACCGCTAGTGATGTGGTATCCAAGCATCGGCAGCAGCGAATACGTCGTACGCGTGTAACTCGTGGCTCTGGTGATGTCAACGAGGCTGATATCACGCAGCTGGACGAGACGATGGAGGAACTCTGAAGCAGTCATGAAGCCTCGAGTCCTTGACGGGATGGGGTCGAACGGCAAGGGCCAGGGGGGGGGGGCACCTACTCGTACATATCAATACTCGTAATATAATAGGTAACAATACTTCACTTGCTTACCCGTATCGGCGCAGCCTACGAGTAAATCGATACCCGTAATACCGGCCACCCCGGTCAGTTGTCAATGGATTTCTTTGCCTTTCTTCCTTCTTTCTTTTCTTTTTCTTCTTCTTTTTTTTTTCTTTTGGGTTTTTTTTTTCTGCCGATCGACACAGCAGTTGTCGTGATACCGATCCAAGACCATCCGGACACTGAGCACTGAGCGCTGAGCACCTGTCGGGACCATACCATGCCTGTACGGAGTACATGTACAGGCACTCACAGGCCGTCCTGCAGGCCATGTCCCCTACGAGCAGTACGAGTATACGAGTATTCTAGACCCAAGTCCCAAAGTCTTAGGTCGAGTACGGATGGGTGAGTGAGGTGAGGTGGGGTGGGGTACGGTGCGATGCGAGTACTTAAACCCCGGTACAGGATACTTGGTCAGCGCCACCACTCGTATGAAGTCGTAGCTGGTACGGCGGATAGACGGCGCGCGCCAAGTTGTCGAGATGGTCGGTGCCCTCCACTCGACGTTGCAGATGTCTATCGCTCTCTCTCTCTTCTCTGTCTCTCCATCTCTCCGTCTCTCCGTCTCTCCGTCTCTCCGTCTCTCCGTCTCCTGATTGAACATGATCGGCATCGAATGGTATTATCGGTATCGATTCATCTCCATAGAGAGACATGTTGGTAACATCACCACCAGTCACGAGGGCCAGGGATAACAACTGACGGGAAATCCACCAATCGTCTACGACCATCGATGGCGCTGATCTTCCAGCAGAGCAGACTAGCGAGCAGGGCACACACACCCCCGGGCCACCCGCACGCACACACATCACCATGCGCTGTGCTCTGCTGCTATGCTGATACCCTGATGCATGGTGCAAGGCACGGGCAGACAGCCTAGACGTCCACCACGTCGTCCGTACATGTACTATACAATCTGTGCTCTGCACTCCGTACTCCGTACGCGCAGGCCCGTAACGCCCATGCTCCCTACGCTCATCGCTCTCTGCACGCGCGGCTCACGCTCCGCACGCACGCCGATAGCACTGAGCAGAGAGGAAGGGTACGGTGGGCCGTGCGCGGTACGTGGCCTCCCACGCTCCTCCTCCATCCGCGCCGCACCGCTACGAGTACAGGTCGTGCTGCGGATACAATCTATGCCCGTACGGGTGGTAGATACTCCTACAGGCTACGGGTGATGGGACGATACATGCATGGGCGGGTTAGGTGATGCAGCTGGCCTGTATCCGTTGCTCCTGACCCTGCCAGCCTTGATTTTCCGAGCGCTCTAATCTGTACGGATACAGCTACCGACTGATACAGACTACAGCGCGGCGCACACGTACCACCCCCCGGTTACAGCGCTGCTGCAGTGCCCGTACGGGTAGAGCCTGGAAGTCGACAGGCGTGGCTGACTGCCGTGATGGATCCCCATGGACCGGGGGCCCACCGGCCACTGCCAGACAGGCCAGGGCGTGATGACCAGGGGAGGCCTGCCTGTGCTGAGAACAATTCGGAGCCGGTTACCCCATACAGATTAATACCCAGTGCAGGGAGAGAGACCAGAGAGACACGCACACCTACGACAGAGTTTTTTCGAGCACCTGTATAAGCCCGTACATGCATGTAGCGACGATGACGATGATACTTGAATTGGGATGGCAGGAGATGGGCAGCGCCGGCTTATTGGCCGGACCACCCCTTCCCCTTGCGGACCCTGGTAGGTACTGCAGTGGATGTACAGATTACGGATTACACCGTCAAGACCAGACTGTGTGAAGAGGGAAGATACGGAGTACGGATCTGTACCGTGGACCTCTCTGCCACCAGCATCCGCCACACCGTTAGCACCTAGTGCTGCTTTGCTACCTACTGCCTGCTCCGTACTCCGTATCACTGCTACCGTAAATAACAGCACAGCAACAATCCATCCGCCCGTCCTGGTCAAACCGTCCGACTAATGGTGGTCCCCATCCCCACCGTCCCACACTTTTTCTCTCTCTCTCTCTCTCTTTCTCTCTCCCTCTCTCTCTCTCTCTCCCTCTCCCTCTCGGTCTCCCTCTTAGTCTCTCTCTCTCTCGCTCGCCCCCTCCCTTGTACCTTGTACTTTACCCTCCGTACTCGTACAGGCGGCTCACCCACCCACTGTACCGTACCGGTCAAGCGCCCTCCTCCGTCTCCCTCTAGCTCTCTCTCCTCCCATCTCTGAGTCTCTCTCCCACGCCACCCACCACCACCCGCCTCTTTGCCCTGGACGCCCAACCGTTCGGCTGAACCTCGTTTTTTCCTCCTCCCTCTGTCTTGCTCATCTTCGTCTCTCTCGCTCTCTCCCTTCTGATACTACGAAATCGATATCCTCCAGACGACCGAGGCTGGCCTTGTCTAATTCCTTCTTTTTTTTTTCCTTTTTCCTTTCCTCTCTTCCGTCTTCCTCCTGACAAGTCTACCTGGTCGATCTACCTACATAATAATAACCCAACCGCCCTGCTGATTATTACATACGAGAGTATTACATACGAGAGTAAACGCACGAGAGCCGCCAGACGACTACAGCCTCAGCATTCCAGTCGAGCCGTGGCAACGCGCAACCCGCTTGGCCCGAGTCATCGACAACAACATTGAAATCAACCGTCCCGACGCCTTGTTCGGCCCCCCCCCCGTCACTGCTGCCCATGCTGCTTCGAGGCATGATGAGGTCTTGACCCATTCTGTCCCCTCGTCACCAATCAACCTTGTCCGATACAAAACATCCCGCACGAACAAGGCGACCGGCAAACGCACGCACGCACGCACGCACGCATACACCACAATGCCTGCTCTTTCCAGTCGCATCCTGACGAGCAAGATTGACCAAGAATTACTCCAGTAGCGGTCTCGGCCTTGTTTCTGTGTACCTCGTCTCTGATCAGAGATTGGGAACGGGATACCACGCCGTCCGCCACCAGCATGGCAATGTGGCCCTTTCGCCGCAGGAGCGATCGGAAACGCTCTCGCAGCGGAGCCGCCCTGTCCGATGCCGAGGGCCCTCCTGCGAGGAGCCAGACGGAAAGCGCCGGCGGCACATCCTCGTCGACGACCGCCGCCGTCTCCGCCGCACCGAGGAAGCAGAAGAAGAAGCAGCGTACCGAGCCTGCCAAGCTGCAGCGACGACAGCGCGCCTACAGCTTCTCCCCGGGCCGGCAAGATGACCTGGGTGCGGACAACAGCCGCGGCCGATATCCCTCTCCCCAACGGCATGGCCAGAACCCAAGCCACGGCGCTCGGGAGGGACGGCCGCGAGGCGACGTCTGGGATCGAACCCCCACCCTCTATCACAACCAGGCCAGCAGGCGACCAGACAGACCCAAGAACGTCAGCAAGAAGAAGAAGAAGCAGGAGGCCCGCGACAGGGCCGCCGAGGTCAGGGCCATGAGCACATTCGACCCCGTCCGGCCCGCCGCCGAGGACTGGACCTCCGGCCGCCCCATGATGAAGGAGAGCAAGAGGATCAAGTCGACGCCCCATTTTTACGGCCGTCCCCCGTCCGACGTGTCGCTCCCGCTACCCGGCTCCATACACTCGAGCCTGTCCTCCGAGTCCGAGTTCCAGACCTTCCGGGTCTCGGCCCTCGCCTCCCTGGCACCCCGCCCGACGCTCCGCTACACGGCGTCCATGAAGCACACCCAGAACAAGGGCAAGGCCCTGGCTGGGAGGGGACCCGTCGTCGACGACGACACATCGCCGCACCGGCGGGTAGACTACCTCGCCGACGACCTCAACGCCAGGGACCTCCGTGAGCTGATGGAGCGCGAGGACAGGCGGCGCGAGAGGAAGCGCCAGCGTGACCGCGAGAGGGCCGAGAGGAGGTTGGCCCGCCAGGCCGAGCAGCAGAAGGCCGAGGCAGAAGAGGCCAGGAAGTCCGGAACGCCGCCTCCCGAGAACCTCGAGCGTGGAGTCGCCGGGCGCGACCTGGTCGGACTGGGCATCGACCCCGCCTCTACGAGGGTGACGACGTCGGAGAAGTCAGAGAAGTCGGACAAGTCGGACAAGTCAGTGCAGTCGGACAAGTCGGACAAGTCAGTGCAGTCGGACAAGTCGGACAAGTCAGTGCAGTCGGTAAAGTCGACCAAGTCAGTGAAGTCGGTAAAGTCGACCAAGTCAGACAAGCGTTACTCGGATAGGTCCATCCATATGGCCGATGCCGAGGACGAGCGGCCCGTCGAACCGTCACGGCTTTCGGACCCGCTACCCAGCCGACGCGAGCCCGAGGTCATCCCCGAGATCGGCGAGCCCGGCGAGCTTGGCGACACGGCGTCGACCAAGCCGCAAGACTCGGCAACATCGCTGGCGCCGAGCTCGCGCCTGGTCGGTATATTGCGCTCCAAGAAGTCCAAGTCGAGATCCACGCTGGCCTCGGAGAGGGACAAGGCCATGTCACCGCCCCCCGATGTCATCGACGAGGAGGCGACGCCGCGGCACAGCTCGTGGAGCAGCGACAAGCGAGGCCGCTTCTCGCTCTCGTCATTCATCCGGTGGGGCGGCAGGCACAGGCGCAGCTCGGGCGGCCCGCCGTCCTTCTCCAACACGTCACGCGAGGAGATGCAGGCATCGTCGGCCGCGGCGCAGCCCCAGACGCCGGCGCAGGCCCTGGCCAGGCTGCAGAGCGACGACCTCAAGAAGGGGCAGGAGCCGCCGTCGCAGCCGCCCAGCGGCATGTACCTGTCTCGGGGGCCGAGCAACGGCGCCAGGCTGCGGACCAAGTCCCGCTTCCGCGAGGACCTGCCCGAGCTCCCCATCTCGCCGCCCGACTCGCGCATGCAGTCGCCGGAAGCCGAGCCGGCCCGCAACGACGAGGACGCCGCCTACCACGGCCGCGCGCAGCCGATGGCCATCCCGCCCCGCACGCAGCAGATCTCCCCGGAGCCGCCGCAGTCCCTCTCCATCTCCCTAGCGTCGATCGACTCCGAGGGCTCGTGGCTGTCCGGACGTCTGAGCGCCAGGCGGTCGGCCATGCGGGAGAGCATCGCGCGCGCCAACCGCATCGACCAGGAGCACTCCGCCGGCACGACCCAGGAGGACCTCGGCATCGCAGACGACGACTACATGGCTCGTCTGGCCCCCCACCACCAAGGCCACGCGTCCGTCCTCATCGGCGGGCGTGCCAGCAGCGATGACGGCGACGAGGTCCGGGAAGAGCAGGAGCACGAGGAGGAGCGCAGCAGCCTTGCCGGCGATGCCGGCGTCAAGCTCGGCGCCGTCGGCGGCTCTAGGCCTCACATCGTCCACCCGGACAGGTACGGCAACAACCGATCCACCATCCGAAGCCAGGAGGGTCTCCTGAACATCGAGTCTGGAGACGACGACGGCGGCGGCGGCGGCGACGAGCAGTACGATGAAGACGATGACGAGGAGGACAGCGCCACGACCGAATCCCCCGTCACCTCTACCGCTGCGCCCGTCGACATCCAGCGCGCCAGGAGCGTCAACCTGGGTAAGGGTGGGCACGTCCGCAACTTTAGCGCCGGAAGCGCCAAGCTGCTGGACATCACTCCTCGAAACTCTGTCGATACCGGACTTGTTGGCAGGAAGTGATTTGCGCGTCGTCCGAGCACGAGTTGAGAGTGTGCCTCTGATAATTCTCGACAATTTTATTGTTTCCTCTGAGCACTTGAGCTTTTTCTCTCCTTGTTTTTTTTTTTTGCCTGAGCACCACTTGAGTAGCTTCCCACGAGAGTCTGAATGAGCTGTACGGATCACCAGAGCCACATATAACACAGCACAAGGAGACGAAAAAACACAACAAAAAAAAAAAAAAAAAACGACTACGACACCCAACTCGACAAAAGACGAAAAAAAATTCAAAATACAAAGAAAAAAAGACACAATCCCATGACGAAGAAAAAAAGAAGAAAAAAACACGGAAAAGAGGATAAAATCACAAAAAAAATCGAAATGCTACAAAAACAACCAAAAAAATTTGAAACGAAAGCAAAAGATCAAAAAAAGGGGAAAAAAAAGGGATTGTGTCGATTGATATACACAAGAAACGTCAAAACCAAAACTACCAAAAAAACTCGGAAAACGGGGTCGCGTTGATATGCGGATCAAAAAACAAAAAAAAAACCGGAAAATGACTAAAAGCATAAAAAAAATGGAAAACGGAAAATGGCTCTCTCGGTACACTCTCACTCATTCTTATGGCTCGTGGCTCGTGGCTCGTGGCTCGTGGCTCGTGGCTTCATGACAAGGAACTCAACACTCGACGCTCCATCTCGATGATAAGGCAAGGTAGGAAGGTAGGCAGGCAGGCACTTGGAGTATCATGGACTTTTCGATTCTGTTTTATTGGGTTTTCGGATCTATTGTTTTATTCTTCTTCGTTTTCTGCCTCTCTTGTTCTTGAGTTGTTCTGATTTTTTTATACCCCCCCCCCCTTTCCTCCGGCCTCCCCTCGATATACACTAGGAATTAGGTTGAAAGCATTTTTTTTATTTTTCATATTTTTTTTTCAATTTCCTATCCTTTCTTAATTCGTTTAGTATATATCCAACGAAAGAAGAAGAGAGGAAGAGAGGAATGGTTGAATTGAAGTCTACCTTGGACTCGGCGGGAGTTTGGCTAGACTCTATTGATCTGACCATGTGTAATCTATATAGCAAGGCTTCTTCTGTCTGACATCAGTGCGTGCTAGTATTACTACTACTTGATTCTGGAGGGATGGCAAGACGGTCAAAGGAAAGGTTGGGTACGCGATGTCTGTTTTTTTTTTCCCCCATTATTGGTCTATGTTCGTAGTGAGTACGACTATCGTATGCTGCAGTATTCTATTTTTAAAAATAGGATATGTATTATTAATAACAACTCTGGAGAGTTATTCTATAATCTATAATTTATTTTCTCATACCCCCAAAAAAGAAGATTGAAAACAAATGAAAACAAAGAATGTAAAAAGAAAGAAGAAGAAGAAGAAAAAAGAGGGATAAAAAAAACCATGACGACATGGAAAGATTTGGAATGGTGAGATTTGGAATAGCATCAATACTACTCAATATGGAATCTCAACTCACCTTATATATCACCAGCAGACTCATCAGATAAAACCCCGATTACAAAGTCCGGTGTCGGGTAGATGACGGCAATTGCGCAACTTTTTGATGGCAAATGTTTCCAAATCATCAGGGTCTAGGTCAATGACTAATCCAGCCAAGACCACCCTGTGACGCAATTTTCACGGTGGATTATTAACGCAGTTCCGCTTCCCCGCCATACGCCATAGTCCCTCCTCCCGTACTTGGGCCATTCACTCTACTGCTCTCGTTCCATACAATTTTTTTTTTTTTTTCCCTCTCTATCTCCCTCTCCCTCTCCCTCTCTGGCCCCCCCCCCCTCTCCTCCCCCTCCAAGCAATCCTGCCCCTCATGTCTTCCTCCTCCTCCACTCTACGACTCCTTCGATCCGCAGCTTCTCGTCAG